TGGAGATTTGTATTCATACTTCGGTGGTGGTGGAGAATAATAAACTGGAGGAGGTGAAGAGTGATAAACATGCGGTGGTGGAGAATGGTAAATCGGAGGTGGAGGAGAGTAATAAACGGGAGGTGGTGGAGAAGAATAGACATAGTCAATAGCAATCACCGATGGCAAACTCAAAGTCGCCACCAAAATTGCAGTCACGAGATAGGCCAAAGGCCTAGATTTCCCCATCTTTACTCTCAATGGGTTTTTGTTCTGCCTTCAAACCAATGCCTCCCCTCCGTTTTATAGATCCCATTTCATGCTCCTTCAAGGCTACCAAATCATGGCCAACAAAATAAAAATTATATCCAAATTGTTACACCTAACCTTCGTGGAAATGATAGTGCAATATGTTGACAAATGAGTCCGACAAATTTACAATTCAAATTTGGATTAGATTATAAAATTGTATGAATGTATAACAGAATCTTTCTCCTTCTATCTTTTATATAAATTATCAATTTGAAAACAAAACTTGGTCTTTGGTTTGAAATTTTCCTCTTATATTAATCGTGACCTTGTTTTGATATCTCATTTTATTAATTATAAGAATAAATGTAACATCATACAATTTTGACTTTGTAGAGGTAGGTGACAATTGTTATGCATTTGTTTGGTAAGTTAGCTGTCCTGTGTTGTACAAATTGAGTACGAGTTTTCTAATTGTCCAAAGTACAAATCTTCAATAACTTTGAAATTTATCTTAACACCGTAAATTATTAATCTCTATTGGATCACAATTGATATGGTAAAATTTCGAATTGAATTCTTCTACGATGTTAAATCATCATTAAATCTTGTTTAATCAGTTTTTAATACATTATTAACACAAACATATATTTGAAGCCACTTAGCATTGAGATAAAGTAATAATTTGGCCGAATATTGATGATAAAAATCAAAATGATTATTTTTTTGGTTAAATATATGTTTTAATTGCTAATGTTGGTATGGTTTTTTCAATTTAATCCTTGTTTAAAAATTTTCCATTTCATATATCATTTTAATAATTTCTATTTATATCATTTTCGATTATCAATGACAAAATTGGCTAGAATAAGCTCCAACTGATATGACATTTCTTGGCTTAACAAAACTTTAGAGAATAAATCACTTCCTTTATAATTAATTAATCTAAATTTAGAGAAGAAATTGGTCTCTTAGTAGCTTAATTCGTTCTCTAAATCTATGTCAATACACTAAATATCATGTGAATATAAACGTATCATCGTCTAGTTTTAACCTTCATCAACGAAAAAGAGTAGAATTGAAAAATATTAAAAATATAAAAGTCTAAAATTAAAACTTATCTCAACTTCTTAATTCAATTGATTGAAGTCTCAATTTTATAAAAGTGTCAAATGGAAATACTGATATGATGTTGATTGATAGTTTAAAAAATCATTTCACTATTTTTAAGTAAGTAAAAAATTGTAGTTATTAATATTCTTTCTAAATCAGTATATATACATAGTCAATTTTATTTCTATACTACAAAAACATTATGTCGGTGTGAACTCATGAACATATGAAATTAGGTTGATATATCGACCGAAATTTAATACCGTACACATACTTAAAGTCTTCAAGTCTTTCTTTATTATTTCAGTTTAAAGCATTTGGAAAGAGGTGGGAAGGCGAAGACTGTTTCCAATGGTACGTACCAAATCACGTAGTACGCGCTTCGGTGATTTTAATATTTCTTGAGAATCTATGTCGGCGGAGGTTGAAGAAACGTGCGGGTATAATTTCTTTTTCTTTTTCTTTTTCTTTTTTCTACGGTGGTTGTAATTTTAACGAATCCCATTATTTTAATTTTAACATTAGGCTAGGATTAAATGCATCTACTGATCTTTACTTTTCCTCCAAGAGATATTAAAGAAATGATTAAATTTGTGAGCCGCCCAAGTAATGAACTCAATGCTTCCTCTTGAGCCGGTGGAATCATGGTAGTATTAACTTTTTAAAGCAAGCAAGACAAAGAATTATCCATTTGGAATGCTAAACCATAGACATTTTAGTTATGTTTAAAATGAAAATTATGATCTAAGGGTCACATGAGCTTTGATGATAGGTTATTTTGTTCTCTCTTTAAAGTTTCGTTAATCTTATGTCGTGTTTTGCACTTTCATATATTTGTTTGGAGTTCGTTTGGTGACGTTTTTTTCCTTATCTTTTATTTTCTTTTACTCGTAACTTGTTTATATTTCATAAAAAAAAATAACTTGCCTTGGATAACTATTTTTGTTTTTTGTTTTTATTATTCCTTTTTTTAAAGAAACATTTATTGTATTTTGGTTATAGTTTCTTTTTTTTTCCGTTCTCATATGTATTAAATTTAAAACTTACAAATTTCACTTCAAGGATGATTTTTTTTATAAATAAAATATTAAATTTTTTGTTATATTCAACTATTTCAATATTATGCATTTTATAGTTAAACAATTATAAAATAATACTCTTACCTATGTGTAATTAATGGGAGGAAATGTTCTTTTAAATGAGAAACGAAAAACAAAAGTAATAACTAAATACTTGTGTTTCTAAAAAAATTAGTAAAAAAGAAACAAGAAATAACCTTTTATCCAAAGTTTTGTTGTCCCCTTCTTCTCTCACGATGAGGGCATGGTTTGAGGATGATGCAGAGTTATCAATAGCAATATACATATTTTTCCCATTTAAAAGTGGGTGTGGTGTTAGGTTTTTGACAAAATATTAGAAAGAGCAAAAAATTTCCTGTTTAAAAGATACAATGAAGTAATGAGTTTCAACTATAGAAGAGGGCTCATGATTTTGTTTTTAACTTATCCCGATTAGAAACACTTTTAACTTTGGCGTACGAAGTTTAGTTAAATTTCCTTTTTGTATTCCGTTGTTAGATAGTGAGGAGAAGACTATTTAAGATACCATTTTTTTATTTCGGATCAGGAAAAAAATTCTATATAATTGTAATATTTTTTGCGTAGTTGATTTTTTCTTCTTACTGGGCTATGATTTTTCTTTGATTTTAATGTTTTGTATGTAAATTCTGGTGTTTTTTATTCTTGTTATTTTCTTTTAATTTCTCACTTACTTTTTTTTTCCTTATTCTTGCGATACAAGTGGTAGGTATTTTTCAAACAAGTGGTACTAAAGCTTTAGATTCGTAATGTATTGAATTTATGAGTGTGTTTTGTACCTTCAACATTATGTATATGAACTTCCAAATCACAAAAGATTTCTTAGGGATGAGCAAAAGAACTCGAAAAACCGAGCCGACCGGTCGAAACTGACCAAATCGAAGTCGGTCGGTCGGTTTTCAATGAGGGTCGGTCGGTGGTTAGTCGGTTGGCATCCATTAACTCCTCATCCTGACCGACCGACCGATGGTACACTAATATTAAGAAAAATTATATTATCTATTTA